CACCTTTTTAATATACTGACCAGACGCGATGGAAATGCAAATGGCACCTCCATGAAATTTTTATATTTAAACAATTGACGTGTTACAATGATCATCGAGGGAACCAACCCACCAGCTTAGTTCATCGGTCCTATTTTTAAGAGCTAAATATACTGTAATCTTCTGCGTATAAGCCCTGAGCTTCTACAACTTTGGAAGGGGTTTTAGAAGTGTTTATAAACGGAGGGGCTTATATCCGAGGGGGCCTCGAAACGAGCTGTGGCACTGCAAATCAAAAATCAAAACGTCATAATATGTCGAACTCATTTCAATACAGTTAGAACAGAATTGATACTAATAATACGAGGAAAGCTGGGACATGACAAACGGAAGTTTAGACCTTTCCCTTTCCTCTTTTGATGTAATCTGCTCTATATAAGAAAAAGAAATTTCGAACGGTGCTATGATATTTAAAATTTTTTTTAATGTTTATATCTCTTTATCAAAACAACATTAAAACACAAAATGGGGACACTATAAGATAAATTTGAAGTAAAAATGGAATTTTTTCTAGGTCTCGCACCTATCACAGTACTCTTTAAGGAGGTTCGACACACTGTCAGATTATTAATTTGCACATCTACTAGATTACCTCTCTTATCATAGAGTTGATGATCATCTGTATAAACATTTCTTATAAGAGACTCGTCTTAATGTCGTAAGTTATAATCATTCTGGAAAATGTTGCATAACAACTTGTCCGAGGAAATTTCCTGGACACCCTTTCTCAGAATCTCTATACTGTGCTCAGTTAGGACCTATTTGATGCAGTCTATAGAGGTTGAGTTAAGGAGTTTTATACTTCTCGTGTAAAACCATAAGCCTCTACTTTAGCTAAATGGAAGGGTGATGTAGGGAATCGAATGACCTGCTCATGTCTTCGGAAAGCATACCAATAAATTAATATTCATCACGATCAGTGACACCAAAGCTGTTTCACACTGAAGGGGGAAAAAGAGAAAAATCAAAGTGATGCTGTATTAACTCGCGCGTGGATAAACTATGTAGAATAGAGTTAGAATAAACAGTGATTAAATTGAGATTCCAAGGAACAAAATTGGGCTGCTGGCCACTAAAAAGACGTCGGGTAGCTGGTGGATTAGTACTTAAGATGATGAAGTTTAAAAATTGATGTCCCCGTAGCTTTATTCATTTTGCTATATTATTTACACTACTGCTGTAAAGGAAACATAATTTTGTGGTAATTTTGATAGAAATATATAGGTATTGCATTACCGGTTCCTACTTTCTGCACATCTTCGGATAAAAGCCAAAGAGGCTTCATTGTTGGCGGAACAAAACAGCAAAAACAGCTAAGCTGTGATCTGTTGAGAATGACAAATTCACAAAATCTTTAAAAGGAGATATACCTTTAGAACTGGGACAAAATTAAGAGTTGTATTCAGTCTTAGCTGGACTAGGTGCATTTCATTATTCTAAAAAAAAAATTGAAGAGTATGTACGGCATCTTATCTAACGCTTCTTATTTAGGTATGGGAGAATACCGAAAAAATGTTTATCTACTTACCAAAAAGGAAGCAACTACACTAACTCTGCCAGAAATAAAAGGATTGAGGAAAACACAACAGTACCAGCGTGGCGTGACATTTTTTGAAAACATGAAAGATGATGATGTGAGAATCTTGCTTGAAAACCAGTTCTCCCCTATCTTGTCAAATAAAAGGTAAGTGCAGTAAGTACGTAATAGCGTGATATGGTAACGATATTGCTTCAAAACCACTTGTATATATGAAAGAATGGAAGTGCGAAATTTGAAGAATCACTTTTGCGAGTATTCAGACCAAACCCCTTTATTTTTTGCTTATTGTTATTTAGGTTTTCGTGTGCAACACGAGAAGGACAGGCCAATAATCAATATAATTTTGATAATGAACGCCGTGTTTGGGATGGACGAACGATTAAAGGGAAAGTAAAAGGCGGGTCGGCCTTGTATTTAATCCTGGAGGACGAGGTACACACGATATATAAAACAATCATAACATCGCTCAGTTTTGAGGCTTATCATACCCTCGATACTTTTGGATTTAGTATTCTTTCGTTTTCGTTATTTTCTGTTATACCATTTATTTTGTCACATGTATTCAGTAATGAGTTTTCCTTGTAAATGGGCAAAATAACAGTATCCCCATTTAGTTCAGAGACGCCATTTATACGGTCACACCGGTACTTTTTACCGATGTCTTGGAATCAGACCTTGAATTACAAGATTCATAACTCCACTGAGCTGCAGGGGTTTAATTCATTTCTTTGATTAAAGAAAATTCTGTTTGTTTAAGGTGTCATTGACACAAGCACCACAATCTGCGACAACAGTCACATCTATGAACACAACTAACTCAACAGGCAAGTTAATATTTTTAATCTGTATTTTCTCTTGCGCCATAAAAGGTATAGGTCCATTGATTTTCTTCTCATTTGATACAAATATTAAAAGTGGAAAATTACAAAACATATTATCCTTTTCTATTTATATTTCTTCGCCAAACATGCCATAAGATAATGGAATAATGGAAAGGAAATTGGTTGATCGGCGATGGTAGGAATCCAATTGACTCTAAATTTCCCTTACTAAGGGAGGAAGCGATTTGATACCATTTTAATGTCATATAGGTCAAGGTGGAAATAAAATCACGGATCGGGTTTTTTTCCAACTATCCTGTTGCGTCAAAGGCATTTGCAAAGTACCTTAATCCGGAGCAAGAGCTTTAGAGCTCCCTGTTTCACCAACTTTAAACGCCTATCCCTTTCTTAATGATCATCTTATATGTATTGTGTTGATTTTGAGAATTATCGTGCTAGTCATGGTTCTAAGGATAATTTAGTTGCGAAGAGACGCATTTCTCTAATCCCGTAGTAAAATTATGTGATAGTTAAAACTAATCTTCACTAATTGTTTAACTCTCAAGCGAGTGTAGCTTCTTGCGGCCGAATCGTAGAAAGATGGTTGACATTTTCCTATCAAATAATTATATTAGAATGAATCGTCAAAATTAGTCGCTTGCGTCTTCTTTCGTGGAAATTGTGTTAACTCTTTGGAACTTGATCGTTCTCTAGAAAATACAGTGGAAACGACGACGCAACGGGAACAAGATATGAACACAAATATTCCTGGGTTGCATGTAAGTGAAATCTGCTATCATATTCATGTGTGTTTTTATGCTGGGAATTTCATTTAATGAGAGAAGAATACAAGGGAAAAAAGTGAAAGACAGTCTATCTAAGATTATAATCTAGCACTCCCATTACTCTCCGTTTACTTTTAACTAAGTTCAAATATGATGCAGTGGTCCTTCTTAACGCAACACCTTCACTGCATGCTACTCTTGGTTGGAAGGGGGGTCCTGAGTAAATTTTAGTGGACATTTTTGAATTTTAAGAACAAAAAAATGCAAAATCGGGTATGAGTAGACCACTGTTTTGGTTGCATGGCCCCATTCATTCTTTTCGTCAGCAAGACCATAAAACCGGGAACGATTTCATCAGAGTAAAAACCAATGGTGGATCTTAAATCAGAAATAGACAGGAAATTTGCAAATATTCACAGAAATCGCGATGATAACTTTCAACGCCCAAGTCTGACATTTGTTTTCAGTGGCTGCCGTGGTACAATTTAAGGAAACTTTATTTGGTTTCGAATGAAAAGGGAAGTTTTTCAACAATGTTTTCGTATTTTAAAATCAGCTGGCTTCTAACCCGGTGTCACCTGCAAGAGGAACTCCTTCATCTTTACAAGGTACACGAAGACGAATTTTTGTTTAATTCTTATATCTTCTCTGGTTGTTACTAAACTCTTCGTTTCAGACTTGAAGCTCGCATGTAAAGCATAATTCATTTTCATTTTAGGTCATTTGTTGTCAACCAGCTTCTGCCACAACTCTAAAAATAGCCAGACTGTAAGTGATCTTTGAAATGATAACGCACGCAGTGAGTCTACCATTTATTTTCTCACATGTGTTCAATAATGAATTTTCCTTGTAAATAGGCAAAATATACGGTATCCCTTTTAGGGCAGAGACACCATTTATACAGCCACACTGGTGCTTTTCACCGATGTTTTGGAATCAGAACTTGAATTACAAGATTCATAACCCACTGAGCTACAGGGGTTTAATTAATTTCTTTGATTAAGGAGAATTCTGTTTTTTTAAGGTGTCATGGACACAAACACCACAATCTGCGACAACAGTCACATCTTTGAAAACAACTAACTCAACAGGCAAGTTGATTTTTTAATTTGTATTTTCCCTTGCACCATGAAAGGTATGGGTCCATTGATTTTCTTCTTATTTGATACAAATATAAAAAGTGAAAAATTACAAAACATATGATCATATTTCATTTATTTCTTCGCCACACTTTCCGTAAGATAATGGAATGATAGAATGGAAATTGGTTGATCGGTGTCTGTAAGAATCTAATTGACTCTAAAGTTCCTTCAATAAGGGAAGAAACGATTTGAATAACATCGGAATGTCAGATAGGTCCAGGTGCGAATAAAATCGCTGATCGGGTTTTTTTCAACTTTCTTGACTTGTCAAAGAAATTTGCAAAGTACCGAAATCCGGAGCAGGAGCTTGAGAGCTCCCTGTTTTACCAACTTTAAACGCCTATCTCTTCGTTAATGATTGTCTTATATGTACTGTGTTGATTTTGAGAATCATCGTGCTAATGATGATGTTAAGGATAATTCAGTTGCGAAAACATGCATTCTTCTGATCCTGAAGTAAAACTTAGCGAGAGTTAAAACTAATTTTCACCAACTGGTTAACTCTCAAATGAATTAAGCTTCTTGTGGCCGAATTGTAGAAAGAAGGTTGACATTTTTATATCAAATAATTACTTTAAAATGAATCGTCAAAATTAGTCACAGATGACATTTTTTAAGCTTCTGTCTCCTTTTGTTGTAACTGTGTTAACTCTTTGAAACTTGATCGTCCTCTAGAAAATGCAGAGGAAACGACGCCGTGGGAACAAGATATGTGCATAAATGATGTTGGGCGGCTTGTAAGTGAATTCTGCTATTATGTTCAAGTGTGTTTTTATACTGGGAATTTCATTTAATGAGAGAAAGAATACAAGGGTAAATAGTGAAAGATAGTCTGTCTGAGATAATCATCCAGCACTCCGGTTACCCTCCGTTTACTTTTGACTCAGTTCGAGGCACCTTCACTGCATGCTACTCTTGGTTGGAAAAGGGGTTTCCTGAGTAAATTGTAGCGGATATTTTTTATCATTATTTTCGCAAGCAAAACGACAGAGCCGGGAACGATTTCAACAGAGTAACAACCAATGGTGGATTTAAATCAGAAATAGACAGCAATTGAGTTGGTTTCAGGTTTTTGTTACGAAAATTACCATGTTACTTTAATCAAAATTTGAAAAAATATATCAGAAATCGCGATTGTGACTTTCAACGCCCAAGTCTGACTTTTCTTTTCGGTGGCTGCTGTTGTATAATTTGAAGGAAACGCCATTCTTGTTTTTTAATGCTGTTGATTCAAGTACTTAATCATATTATTTTTTCTCTGTTTAACATGTAGGATGATATCCTAAGCTCTCTCAACTTTTCAGGTAATTCTGCTTTTCATAGGGGAGAAAGCGTGAATATTAAAATTAGGTATGTCATGCCAATAACTCTTCGGCTTGATGCAATGTTGGTTAGTGCCGGCAGTTCTTCTTTAGTCACTGGAGAATAGTGTGAAGTAGTGAAACGGGCATTATCCACATCGTGGAAAAAAAGTAGCTCGGGTTATCGAAATCTAGCCAAAGAATTCAGGAACATCCTTTAGTCTACTCAAAATTAGTCTTTTGACACAGTAATCATAGACTTACGACACTTCAATTCATTTCAAGACATCGGTTCTGAGAATCCCTTATCTCCCACTGGCTTTGGAGCAATTGAAACGTTATCAGAGGCCTCATTGTTGACCAATAGAAATCAAGAACAGAATGAGGTAACATTTTCAATTAAACAAGGCATTCTTTTAACTTACTATTTGGTGTAATGGTGTGATTAAATAATATGATGTGAATGCGAAAAGATATGTGCATTATCTAGATTCATTCACATAAATATAATCTAGAGTAGGTTAATGAGCATAATGACTTTCTTAGTCTGGACAAAATCTCGCTCATACCTTTCAAAACTGTCTTGTGCACTCATTAAATCGACTTCATTGTAAATGAAATTGTTCTTTTTCTTTTTTACCAGCTACAAAATCAGATTCCCTCAACCTCCACTGATACCTTTCAAAGTAGCGACAGTGCTTTCAGTTCGTCAAAAGGTGGGCCAGGAAAGCTTGACTATCCACTTTTTAACATAAATCGAAAGTGTTACATACACGTCAAAACTCCTTTGGTGTGCATAGGAGAGAAGATTTAGTTGGCAATTTTCATGTTTCATCTTTAGAGGAAGAGAATTCTTGAATATTAAAATTAGGTATGTCATGTCAATAACTCTACGGCTTGATGCGATGTTGGTTAGAGCAGGGTTGCTATTGGGAACTTTAGTCGCTTGAGAATAGTGTGAAGTAGTGAAAGGGCATTATCCATGTCATGGAAAAAAAGTAGCTCGGGCTATCGAAATTTAGTTATAGAATTAAAGAACGTCGTTTTGTCTACTCAAAATTAGACTATTGACACAGTTATCATACACATTAATCATAAGCTATTGACACAGTAATCATAGACTTACGACACTTCAATTCATTTCTAGACATCTGTTTTGAGAATCTCTTCTCCGCCATTGACTTTGGAGCAGTTGAAACGATACCGGGGGCCTCATTTTTGACCAATAGAAGTCAAGAACAGAATCAGGTAACATTTTCTATAAAACAAGGCATTCTTTTTAACTTACTATTTGGTGTAATGGTGTTATTAAATAATATGATGTGCATGCGAAAAGATATGTGCATTATCTAGATTCATTCACATAAATATAATTTAGAGTAGGTTAATGAGCATAATGACTTTCTTAGTCTGGACAAAACCTCGCTCATACCTTTCAAAACTGTCTTGTGCACTCATTAAATCGACTTCATTGTAAATGAAATGAACATCCAGCATCCTCAGCATAGGCAGTTGAGGCATCTTCTAAAGCGATTGTTCTTTTTCTTTTTTACCAGCTACAAAATCAGATTCTCTCAACCTCTACTGATACCTTTCAAAGCGGCGACAGTGCTTTCAGTTCGTCAGAAGGTGGGCCAGGAAAGCCTGACTATCCACTTTTTAATATAAATTGAAAGTGTGACATACACGTCAAAACTCCTTTGGTTTGCATAGGAGAGAAGATTTAGTTGGAAATTTTCATGTTTAACATTTAGAGTTCCTTTCTGAAACTTTAAGCTATCTTCTATATACTTTTCATTTTTATTTTGTATTAAGGGTTTTGAATGGTGTTCAAATAATAATTTTTGTCAGTAAAATCTACTTTGGGCAAATCTGGATTGACATTTTTGACATTATAACAAACCGCGTGAAAATTAATGATTTTGAAAGTGTGACATACACGTCAAAACTCCTTTGGTTTGCATAGGAGAGAAGATTTAGTTGGAAATTTTCATGTTTAACATTTAGAGTTCCTTTCTGAAACTTTAAGCTATCTTCTATATACTTTTCATTTTTATTTTGTATTAAGGGTTTTGAATGGTGTTCAAATAATAATTTTTGTCAGTAAAATCTACTTTGGGCAAATCTGGATTGACATTTTTGACATTATAACAAACCGCGTGAAAATTAATGATTTTGATTATTTGATATAGAAACCGTTTCTCAGAATGGAATATTCAGTGCCCAAGGAACAACGCAAGAGGGTCGAATGACAAAGCCAATCTGGGTACATTAACCTCTATTAGTTGTATCAGTGCACCTTAATAGGCAATCCATTCACTCAATCAGAAGACTAGTAATTCTTCTGTTAAATGCCTGTTATCTGTTTGACTCGACTCTTTTATGGTTGAACTTTGGTCAACTATGTTTTGTTTTGAGGGTAAGCATCGTCTGTCAAGATTAGAGCTCAGTCAACTTATTTAGTATATGCTCGTCATTTTCCGATTTCGAACATTTGGTTTTAAATTGATTTTAAGATCTCCGACGTTTATGGTGTATGTCGACACAGTTGCATAGGCGTATATAATTGCTTAAAGTAAATATGTATGTGTTTTTCTCCAATGTACTGTAGTTGATGGAGAAAGATTGTTTGATAAGCGACAAAAGTGATTCTTCCGGACAATCTGACAGCGGTATCTCGTCTGAAGGTGAGGTTGGCCGAGAAAATAGTATTTACGATTAGACTGGCTAAGCTTGATTTTTTTTAAACAAAATTACGGGAAAAAAATGAGACAAACAACTTAAAGAAGTTAATTGAATAAACCTTTCCGTGAAACGCTAAGCTGAAACAGGACATCGAAATCCGAAGAAGTAGACTCGCTTTATCGACAGCTAATTTGAAGAAAAAAAAAAAAAACACTCGTGGAAAGACTTTGGTTTGGAAAACACTTATCGTGTGGTTCAGCGTAAGAGACAAATTCAATTATTACTGGTGTTATTCTAGTTATGGGTTGTGGTGGTGTAAATTACACGATGCAGATCTGGATTGACGTAGTCCAGTATATAGCGTGCTCGACTACGGAAATAGACATCTGGGTTCCAGCGATGGCCTGGGCATTTTGTTGTACTCGTAGGGGAGACTTTCTTGTCTTTATATCTCCGCTGAGGTGGATAAATGGCAACCATAAAAATATTATCTCAAGGTAAAGTGAGCAACATCCTATCTCGTACCCAATCTTGTCATTAAGTTGCATTTCGAAAAAGTAAAACGCATTACAACTATATTCGTTATGTTCTTACTAGTATTTAACGAGATAGTGTTATATTATTCAACTTTCTTTGCGTCTGGAACTTCGTCTTAGATTTAAATTGCTTAATTTTGCACTATTGTTCATACAGCGAGCGCATGTCCTGCCCAAGCTCTCAACCGACCCATATCTCTACGAATACAAGATGCGAGAATGAAACCCGCAGAGGGGCCTTTGCAGGTAGATTCGTGTTTTGCTCTTCTGATTTGTTAATCAAAGTTACAGGAGCGAAAACTAGAGGTATTATTGAATAATATACCATTTAGGAAGAAATTTCTCTTTGTTTTTATGGTAATAATATGCTTGCAAAAATTTCAGCATGCTCATTGGTCGCGAACATGTCAATTTATCTCAAACAGTTCAGAAATTTGAAACTGAGTGAAATTAAATTGATTGACAGGAGGGTTGCGAAAGCACAAAAAAAATAAAAACGACAAACAGGTTAGGATGAAGTAACAACGTTTTATTACAGAAAAAAAAAACCACGTAAGAAAGCACAAGCAACTGCCTAAAGGTCGGGAAGTCTTCGGCTTCCAAAGACGGCTATGACAAAAGCGTTGAAAAGTAGGAACCAGAGGCCCTGAACAAATTCACTGGGAGTTTATGCAAGAGTTTGAACGAAAGACAGGGATTAAATTGCGAGCGGGATTGCCTTCGTGTACTGGTTACTGCTATAAAGCGAATTCTTACGGAGAGAGAGTGCAAACACTTAATTATTCGCGACAGAAAGTTTAAAATCTCGAGGCAAATTGTTATGGGAAAACCCCGACGACTCCGGCAACATGAATGATTACATTTCCGTTATCCAATAAGCAAACAAACACATCAACATCTGTTTATGATATGAATGAACTCCAGCAAATAAACAAAAATGCAAAAGGCAGGAATTTCAGGTATTTTTCCCTTCCTTTTCATTTAGGGCGGAGGGTTATTTTCGGCGGAAATAGATGAAGAGCTCCCTCGTTCAATGGAAACAGGTTGGGCAATATTTGGCAATAAGTCCGTGAAAGTGAGGATAGCGAGAGATGGTCTTGCTCTGTTTGGAGAGGAAATTCCTCGTAAGTGTCCTCTGTTTTTCTCTGATTTTGCTAAAAAGTGATCTTGCACTGCTCTCAGCCTTCATTTTACTCAGTGGTGCTCCCAGGAGGGTAAAAATGCTCGTCGACGTATGCAATATTTCTTATTTTATAGGAGTGGTTAAGAGCTCGTGTCCTTAGTTAAAACTCAGGTTGAATTTCTTCATCTTATACGTTCAGGCGTATGGAAACAATTACTGCAAAAAAATCGTCAAAAGTCTATGTTACATTGTATCAACAATTTGTATTAAATAGGTGGTGACGCGCCAGGACCTGTCACCGTTACATTCACTACACTGGACGGTGAGCGTGTGGCAGAGGGGACTTACACTTACAAAAGGCCTAAAAAACCAAAAACCTGGCAGATTAAACGAGCTCTTGATGGGGTTGAGGAGTCTGTAAAGCGTCTCAGGAGTGTGGCTGACTCATCTTATGAAAGTTACAAATTTGCAGCGGAAAATTACCATGAGTCAGGTATTAGAGAGAGAGAGAGGGAGAGAGGTTCGTATACTCAAATAAACTTGGGATGGTCAGGATAACGCTTAAGCTTTTTTTCACTAATTATTTCTTATTTACGGAAGTGCTTGGAAATAATGGCTGGGTTAATTTCTTTACAGGGGGCTCCTTTCGCGATGCTCTGAATCATTGTATCAATAATTTGTATTAAATAGGTAGTGGTGACGCGCCGGAACCTGTTACTGTTACATTCACCACACTGGACGGTGAGTGTGAGGCGAAGGCGACTTACACTTACAAGAAGCGTGAAAATCCAACAACCTGGCAGATTACGCTCGTTAAACGATCTCTTGATGACATTGAGGAGTATGTAAAGCGTCTCAGGAGAGTGGCTTACACATGCTGTGAAAGTGACGAATTTGCAGCGGAAAATTACCATGAGTCAGGTAAAACTTTTCACCTTGCTTGAACGAATTACCGTCTCCAAAATTTTATTTCAAGGGATAATTAGATAGAGAGGTTCGTACACTCTAATAAACTTGGGATGGTCAGGAAACGCTC